TTAATGAATGAATAAAAAAAAAAAGTAAAAGTAGAAGTTAGTAATTTATAATGACGAAGAAGAGTTTTATCGTCATATCTGATACTGTTCGAAAAATTAATATTTAGTGAACAAATCAATTGAATTTTGATATCTTGAAACTTTAAGCTATTAATATTTTTGGAAGAGATGAAGTCTGATAAAATACAAAAATCCTTCTTTTTGCGTAGCAGTAGAAAACATGTGTGGAACATATACGTTAAATTGACTCTGTTTCCTTGATTTAAATTCCAGCAAGTTCAGATGTTTCTTTTTTCAAAACCTTGAGGTACGCCCACAAGGCATTGCTTAAAATGAAAGTTAAAAACAGGTCAGATGTTCGACAATACTGGACCGATTTGGGTTGATACGTTTTCATTTCCTATACCTGAAGGATTTTTATTCTACGCTGAGTTCTTGATTCTATGTTAATTAATTATTTATTTAAGGCTATAATGGATAGGCAGAGTAATAGCATAGGTAGCATACATATCCAATTGTTTCAAGCTTTGTTTTTGAAACATTTCGAATGGTATTACTAATACCATTAGAATCGTCATAAGATTAATTTGTTGGCCACCTTATATATTGGAATTAATTTTATAAGTTATTTATTACATCTGTTGACAATCAGCAAATGAGGTGACTATTTAGGGAAATAATGACAAGCCAAGCATGTGGAAGGAATTAATTAATTGAATTAATTTCGTGTTAAATAATGAAATAGAATTTAATTTAAAATTATCAATTAAATCTCATCAAATTACCTTTACCCTGCGTCGCAAACCTATGACCTCCTGTCCTACAGTATTCTTTAACGATTCCCCACTTATCCCAGTTGAACAAATTCGTTACCTAGGACTCCACCTCGACAAACGACTCACATGGAATCCTCATACAAGACTGAAACGACAAGAAACTGCTCGACGTTTCCGACTACTCCAACACTTACTAGACAAACGCTCTAAGCTTTCACCCAATTACAAACGACTCATATATATGACAATAATAAGACCTATTTGGACCTACGGAATTGAGCTTTGGGGCTCCACTAAGCCATCGAATTCCTCTCGTATCCAATCCTTACAATCCAAAATCCTTCGTAAAATCCTCAACGCTCCTTACTTTGTCACAAACAAAATCATCCATATAGACCTTAATGTTCCATATGTTTCCGATTTGGCCCAATCCAGATACCTATCCTTCCATAACAAACTGCAGAACCATCCGAACCCTCTTGTTTCAAACATTGCTTCCTCCTCTATCCCTGATAACCCTCCGAGGCGTCTGAAAAGAAGATGGCCTCGGGATCTTCTAATATAGAACTTTAATTTGAGTTCTACCAACGGGTAGTTTCTCTTCATATTTTACATGTCATGTTACCAATGTCACATTTACCTGTTGTATTTTTAATGTAATACAGTTGTAAATTTCAATAAAATTAAAAAAAAAATTATCAATTGAATATATCTAATGAACGCTCTTAACTACAAAATTAAACTAAGTTTAGGTTTTGTTATTGATTCACATCTTAGTTGTGTCCTTTTTTTAGTTTAATTTTCAATTTTTGGTTTTATGTTATATTTTATTGAACATATTGCGATAGTTGAGAAATTCAATCAGTTATATAAGTTATGATGGTTACCAGGTCCAAATTAATTTTATAGGACAAAAAAAAATCATTTACGCCTTGTTGGAGAACATTAATGAGGATAAAACCTATATTCCGTGGTACAGACCTCTTTTTATCAAATGATTAACACCCGGCTGAAACTTCGTAAATAGCTTCATCTCATCGTAACCTACAAATATTTTATTTACGAAAATTTCAGTTTCGTACTTTTAGTTTTTGAGCTAGAGACTGTTCACACACACAGACCATTTTGCGATAGTTGGATATTTAGACTCAGGAGACCTCAAAACGCGCACTTCTATTCGAATTAAAAAAAATATCACAATCGCAATACTTTCCCATTCTATATATTTCATATAAAGGAAAGTGAAATTAAAAAAAATATTTATTTAATTTTGTGAAATTTTTTTAAGTTCCATTATATTATAGTATAGAAATCATGATTCACACCGTTAAATGAAACTTTTAGTTTATAATTTTCATGCAAAAAACGACTTTGGGCAAATAACTAAATTTAGCGCTGAGCTAGTCGATGAAATTGTATCGCTCAGTTTAGAGACAATTCCAATCGTATCGATGAGCTCAGTTCAGGAGCAATCATTGCAAACGTAATGTTGTCATCGAATACGTTATATTTATTGGTTTTGTAAGTATTGAATCAATTAGAACAGTATATATTAGTCAATATAATGATAAATATAATAATCATTTTATTTTATTGTTTTATTTAGTTTGAATTTTGAAAACCTTAATATAATAAAACTATTTTTATTTCTTTGTGTAATCATATAAAAGGGCATATTTTTTTTCTATTGAACACATTTTCCTAGCACTGCGCTCCACTCAGAGTTTGCCAAAAATCGGTCTTGTTCCTGCACTTTGCTAGACCAAGACCAGATCTGGTGAAAAAAAATCGTTTTTAAAAATAAATATTAAGGCAAAATAGTTAATAATACTCTACAATTTTAGTTACTATATGTTAATAATAGGTATAACCAATATATTTTTGCATTTAACTCCTCAAATTTTTTATTTTGGCTTAGTTAGGTTTCCCCTATCTAAAAAATTACTCTAATATCTCTATAGTAATAAGCTAATAAGTCTCTGCAAGACTGTTGCGAGACTCTTGCGCAAAACCAAGATCATGACCAAGACCAAGACTCGTATCGGTCTTGTATTTGGGCAACACTAGCTCCAATGATCTAATCTCCTGAATAAAGCAGGTGGATGTGTTTTATACTGTATTTCATTTAAATCTACCAAACCAGACTTTCAACATGGCAAAGTCGAACAATTATCCATCAACAGAAAATCGATACTCCCAAATCTAATATCAAGATTTGAACCATAAATTGTAAATGAAGAAATTTAATCAGGAATGGAAGTTTTAAATGAGATCTGTGCTGTAAATCTAAAAATATCACAAATGAATAGAACCAAATCAGATGTAAAAATTCGAAGAAATGTGCCATGAGAAAGTTATCACAGGATTGTAATTCCTCATCTTCATTACAATTTTAATAAAAATTCAATAAGTTATAAAATATTAACTATAATTGGCCCTGGAAGCTAAGTTTAAACTATACAAATATTATATTATTAAATTTGTTAAAATTTATAATAAACAGTTTTGTTTTGGTTGCTTATAATAAATAGGATCATTATTTGAAACCAGTAATAGATTAAGTTTAAAAGACTAAAAATAAACCTACTAAAAAAAGATTCATTAATAAAGAATCTTTTTAACAAAAAAAAAAAAAAACCTTTTAAACATTTTAATGTGTCTTTTTTGCCATTTTAAAAGTTTTAATTAAAAAAATAAACAGCCAGAACCATTTAAGATACTATATACCACTTGATGACTACGTGTTAAAAATAATTATTTATTTACAGTCCTTTGCAAAGTTTATTTTTTAATATCCTCTCTTGATTTCACATTTTCTTTCAGTACAATGTAAATTCTTAAACTATTATTGATTAAATGTATACGTTATATATATAATGAATATTATGCATTAAAAAAAAAATACACAACTTTTTCTTACTTCTCTACTTTGAATAGAAATTATTTTCTGTCCAATGTTGACCAATTAAAAAATTTTTGAAGTGCACTTTTAACGGAGCTACAGCTTAAAGCTCACAGCTAACAAGTCATTGAGGTTAAGACCACTAAAATAACAAAAACCCTATTAATTATATTAACGGTAAACAATAATTTACTTATAATTTTTCGTCACTCTCTATTACTTTCTACGACTTTCAATATTAGATATTGTTTTTTCTAAAATTCTTCGCTTTCTAACAATATATTATACGTATTATGACTAGTATATCAAGAAATTAATTTTCGACCTAAATAAACATTTTCCCTTTTTTCTCCATTTTCAATCATCAAAAGTTATATTTAGCATTTTTTTTTTAATCTTAATAATGAGAGATACTTAATTATTTAAAATAAACCAAATTAAAGGTACTTGAGAGGAAAACATGTTGAACATTTAAACAATTAAGCCCTGTAAAGTGACATCAATTGGGATTAGACCTCAATCATATCAAAGACAACTTAATTATACAATGGTATACCGAGTTTATTCAAAATCGTTGGAGCCGTTTATGAGAAAATTGTAAAAATGTGTACAACCGTTCTTATAAAGTGCCACTTCCGATAAGTCGATTTTAAGGAAAAAACTGCTGTCACATCTGAGGCATATACCTACCTTAAATAAGTAATATCAGGTTCGGGCGACGTTTCGTTTTTGAGCTAGACCGACCACATATACTCACTCAGAGAGAGACCATTTTGCAGGATTTGGTTATTTAGACTCAGGAGACCTCAAAACGTGTATTTCCGTTGAAAACTCAGATTCGAACATTTTCACGATCGCAATACTTTCCCTTACTATATGTAACATATATAGGTAAATGAAAGTAAAAAAAAAACAGCATGAAGTACTAAGTAGAAAACAGTTTAATGTTTTGACAAGTATGCAATTAATATTTTTAAATAAACATTTTTTGGTTTAACATTTATTTGTATTATCGAATATCAGATGGAAAGTATGTAGGTTTCGATATAGAATAAATCACTCAATAAACGAATTAGGTAATTACTAAGGGTATTTGTTTAAAATATTCAATATTAAAGTAATTAATCAGCTTGAAAAGCACTTAAATCCTTCGGTAGGATGAAGTAGGAACTGTCAGATATTTTTTGAAGAGGCGCGCTAAGAAATAACAGAGCTCTGGCGGAGCGGGCCGAAGGTTGCCGAAGCAAGGAGTGACTCTCACTGGCTGCGCATGCGCGGCGGCCGCCCTTGCCCGACCCACGTCCCGAGTGCCAGTCGCTGTACCGGAGCCCTCCCGTAGTGTCGTATAGGGTGTTATTGTATTCCGGCCATTTCTTAATTTTGTTTTCTTTTCATATCTAATTCGATTAGATCTTCCTCTGCGTTCCCCTTTCGAGGTAACTTCTACCCGTCTCTAGCTCACAGCGATCACGAAGGTCGAAACGATGAGCGACCACACGGGAAATTCAACGCAGTCCATAGCAGATTACCTGGCCCAGCTGCTGAAGGATCGCAAGCAGGTGACCGCCTTCCCCAATGTCTTCATGCACGTCGAACGTCTAATAGATGAAGGTAAGTCGACCTTGTGTTAGCGGCAATTAGTCTATTAGTTAATAATTATTATTAGAGATTACATAACCCGCCTGCCACACGGTTCTAAAACTGCCCATAATTCCTTTACTCTTCGCCATCAGATGTATCTTAATCTGTAAAAGTTTAAGTATTGAGTGAAATAACACAGCTCTGGCTTAGAAACTTCTAAATATAGAACCTTTCCCCAAGTTTCGTTCGTTTCAAGATGTTAGCCGTTTTGCTGACTGAGGCGCACGATTGCTTGGACCAAAATAACCTGTTGAAGGTAAACAAAGTAGTTCAGTGATGGTGATAAGTTGACCAGCCCGTTCCGTGATTTTTGAGAATCACATCTCTGTTCTTATTTTAGCCCATTCGGTCCGAACTGGGTGGGGGCGTTCCTCGAAACCTCTGTTGTCTCAACTTAAGCATTTTTAACCACATTCTTAAGAGATTCTCGATTTTTTAATGATTCTATCCATTCTCTCTATAAATAATATATAAATGTAACCGTTCTTTGTTAAAAGTTACTTAACAAAAATAACCGTTACAATAATACTATTACATATATATATCTCAAATTTCTTATTAATTGCAATAAGCCTTAACTGTATCGTAAACACCATAAATTTTGGTGTTTTTTAGTTTCGAAATTATTTAATATTTTAGTAGCAACAATGCTCAAAATATAACGGTTGTTGTCTATCTTCGCACGTAATTCCTTTATCTGATAACCCACTCCCAGGATTGTTTTTATATTTAAAAAAAAAGTGAGTGGGAGTGTTAATTATAAATATATATCTTCGAAACCGTTTAAGATTGTATTTAAAAATTATATGTTTTCATTGAGCTGATGAGATTATACACCTCATTCGGCTGCCGGATTCCTGTTTATTTTTAAATATAGTTTTTATCTTAAGATTGAATGTTTGTTTGATATCTTTACTATAGTTTGTTATCTGAACATATAATGTTTGGAATACATTATCCGTTTCTAGGTATTATTTAGTTTCCCAACAATACTGAGTATTTCTCACTGGTCTTATCTTATTTGCTGTGATCACTTACGGAATCTAATGACAAAAATAACAGCAGTCCATTGTGAATTTTTCATCTAAAATATGACGGATGTCAAGTTATTTTTTATTAGTAGTATAGTTCATTTGATATATGTATATTTTCGTATTTTTAAAAATTATGAATCGTCCATAGAATGTGAATTACATGTATTTTTAAAGTTTGATTAAGATATTAATATCAAACAATTTATCATTTGATAATTCAGTTAAAAAATGAAATTAAAATTTTGCTTAGGAATACCTTATAAATCTGAAGAAGTTATTAAAATACAGCAATCATTACATTCATATGGCTGTTCTATTTTCTATTTGGATAGGTCATTCAATACATCTATTAATAACGTTAAACTTAAAACTGAGATTAAGTAAAATCCTGATAGTTGTGGAATTTTGTTATTCAGATGTGCCCAATACACAATCAGTACGTTTTAAAAATGTTTTTACATAAGCTAATAATACATAATTATTATTTATTTTAAATAAATTTACTATATTAATATTAATAAATTCGAAGTGCTTTGATATCAAATATTATGAAAGACTTCAATTGCGACCTTTAACTCATAAGCCGCTGTAGTAGTTCCTTTTCAGTATCCTGGGATATTTTAAAGCTGTTGTCAACTCTTCTAAAGGAAAATTAAATTTTCTTTCATTTTAATGTATTTTTTATTGTCTTTTGTGTAGTTTAAAGTGATTTTTCTTTAAAGAAAAAAAGTGACTTCTTGGTTTTTTTATATTTCCATTTAAACAGCTTTTGTTCGAATGTTGCATAATTTTTAGGTGTTAGTTATGCTGTAGTTAGGTCTATTCAAGTAATTATTTATATAAACAGAGCCCCATATATAGAGAGGGACGATTATCATGGTATCGGCAGGGCCCGGTAAAAATTTAGGATTTTATATAATCAAATTTTAATAAGTTGTTAAAAATAAAAAAAAAATAACGTATCGTTAAATATATAGTTTAAGATATAAATTATTTTGGTTTATGATATGTATATTCACTTCTCTACACACTAACACACGTATATATTATTAAGTGGCTGTATTAGTACTACAGCTTAATCTAGAGATGTTGACTTAAAATTGATAGTTCATATTGTTCGCAAAAAAGAGTTATTAATGAAATTTATTCATTTTCAAAAACCGAAGAGTAGATTACATTTTTTTTAAATTAACAAAAAACTGCATAACGTTTATGATTGTATATTTTTTTCTTATCCTCCATTTTATTTTTCAACTATTACAATATAAGTACATGCAATATAATCATATATGTCTTGTTGCTTTGTCACTACACTGGTCTATGGCAAGTTTATTATTGAGTACAAATAGAACTAATACGTTGAGAATTAAGGGTAATCCTTAATTTGGCTTAATAATATTTTGGTGTATGCAGTATTCAGGGCATTTAGTGAAGGTGTTTTTATTTTTTCTGCACCTGACCTTAAAGGGCCCGCGGTACCTGCTAGGGTCAGTCAGCCCTTGGCACAGGTGACCCATTGTACCCTAAGGGCATTCACTAAGGGTTCCCTGCTCTCAACAGGTACTGTCATGCTAAGGTCGTCTGATGACCGTCTGAGCAGGATTTTTTCCTTATTTACATTACCATGATTTTTGTCATATCAAAATCTTAATATTAAAAAAAAAAATTTAGCTCGGGTTTCAATATTTGGGTATTTATATTATTGGCTTATAAATATTTTTTATTAAAAACAGATAATTTAATGAAAAATAATAGATTCAGAGCATTATCAGACTGTTATAATTATTTACATACAATATGTTAACTGTTAATTTCCAAATCTTATTTATTATTATTATTTTTCTTTATAAATATTTTTATTTATTAATAATATTCATTCATATAATTCATTAGTTTTAAATAAGTTTATTTTATTAATTATAAAATGATGATATCGTCGATACAAATGCAAACTATCGAATATGAAAATAGGAAAAATAGTCCTGCACTCTAGCGATTGTTATTGCAATTAAATCTTTTTAAAGAGCAAATACAAAATCATCTAGCATTCATAATAGCAGACATTAGTGTGGAAATAAACAAATCCTCATTGTTTGGGCTGAATTAATAATGATAGCGTAGTGGTTTTCATATTCGATAGTTAGCATTTGTATCGAGGATTAGGATGAGATTTTTTAAATCTAATTTTTCTTTAGAAATTCCATTTTTTCTCATATAAACCCAATTATTGTTACACATAATGTTATAGATATTTTAATTTACGTTTCTAGTAAGTATATATAGTGATTTTTTTTTTGTATGTATATATTAAAATATTATTTGCTAAAATACCATTTAGTTTGGTGAAACAATTTTTTTTTATTCTTGCATGACTATTGAGTTTCTTGATAGCTAATAATCAATCAATTATTTCAAGGGAATAATATTTCCTATATTACTATTTTTTTTTGGAACGTGACATGATGCTATATACAAATTTTAACCAAAAATGATACTAAAGTACCAGCTACTAATAAAATTAGTAGAATACTCCAAATCAGCGGAATTTTTCCAAATAAAGTTATTTTTAGATTATTTCAGAACGCAATCTTCAACCCTCACAGATAACTGATTTTCTTACATGTCAAGCTCTAGCCAAATCTAGGAATATTAATTATAAATATAGTAAACCTTATTGCTCAAGTTAAGATAAGATCTCTTTAGTTTTTACTTTACTTGGTGTACAAAAATTGAGAAATCCATTGGTTTAAGCTTGTATTGATTAAAATAAATTATGTGAAATATCATAGTGAATGTATCTGAATTTGAGTGACTAGTAATTAAATCAAACCTTTAAGACTTTTGTTTTATATATATATATATATATATAAATTAATTTTGATATATATCAAATAGTGATATATTTGATATATCACCATAGTTTATTATTTACCAATATCAGTTCCTATAATATTATATCTCTGATTGTATTTTAAAATTTTCAGCCCTGATGATGACCCTCATGTTTGGGTTGAAACGTCGGCACAAATAAAAAAAAATTATAATGACTGCGTCCTGAATATTTATCACCCATGATATTTAAATTTTGAGTACACAGAAAGCATTATTTTGTTGTAGATATTCTTTTAATTTGTCGGATCAGGTCCAGTATTCTAGTGAAAGTAGGTACGAGCTATAACCAAAATAAAAATTAAAGGAAATAACAACAAAATATTCGAACCGAGGCAGATTAGAAAACACAGGCCGCGATTAAGATTCCCGTTATGACTGGTCCTTGCCCCTCCATTAATATATTCCAAATATGGTAGCAAAGTCGTTTCGTGTGTTTTTCAATAATTCAAAAGTTAAAGATTTAGAAGTTACGTAAAATCTAGAGGACCGTTGAGAATTTTTTCTTTTTTATGGTCCCACATCTCCTAATTAAACACATTCAGGCCTAGTCCACATAATTTCATTTAATTACGAACTCGCAAATAATTTTAATTTCGTATAACTTTATGGTTATCACATATTGAAATTATTAATGTTAGTTTACGTAATGTGATATAAAGTGTATAATTCATCAGTTTTTTTTTTTCCGGCAATTGATTGGACGTTGTTAATCATAATTGCGCGTATACGGGTAGGAAGTTATATGACCTTATTAAGTAATTGAGAACTCAAATGGTTTCCTATCCCGTACTGTTTTGGGAGTATTTGTTTAATAATTTTAAAGTTACATTTTAAAACGTAATCTCCTAATATCCTTAATGATTTATTCCTGAACTGTTATGAAAAAGAATCCATTTATCGTTGGTGACCGTTAACCTCATAAACGTTTAGACGAATTTACACCCGATTTTTCACAAAATGATCCAAGATACAGTATGAGGTTTTTTAACTCTGAAATCCATGATCTAATCTGTGGAACATTACAGAACTACAACTTTTAATCTTAAAACTTTTCAAGTAAAGGTTTTACAAAACGTTTATTTAAATAAAAAAATCTTTAATTGTAAAATTCAGTTCATTTCGCTAAAACGTCCATCTAATACTTTTATTCTTAGCTACTATAACAAACGACACATTAGGATCACTTAATTCGGATAAGATGAATAATAATCCAAATCTAAACAAAATTACTGTTTATTTCTCGTTAGTCGTGTCGTTTTGTAAGGACTGAAATAAATAAAAGTATATATCTTTTTCCATAAAATATATGTACTGTTATTTAACACAAGTAAAGAGTAAAATTTTATAGACCGCTATATATATGTTAATATATAAACATAAATCATAGTACACATTGTGCATAGATATTGTTGCCCGATTTGTCTAGAGACGGTCTCGAGACACGGTCTACAGACACCGCTGTTTATCTAGTCTTGCGACCAAACTGCGTTGTGAATTTTTCAGTCCCATCTTCGAAGCCCACGATGGAGGACATAATTTTGTGTGGAATGAGTTCCTGCTTAGTGATAGTTACAAGTGAACAAACAGGAATACCAACAACGAAATTGTAAACGTTGGTGGATGTGCTAAGTGCTCGCAGAAGGATCTATTTTCTGTAATGCACTATTAAATAAATTAAAACTGGGAGGCGCAACGAAAATCTTCAATTAGTTTTTAAAATTTCTCGTTAGACCACAAATGTTTAAAAGAATTGTAAAACTATGGAAAATAACTCTTAACAGCCGAACCGACCACTCGTTAGCTGGAGACTGGGACGTGTCACACCTCTAGACGCTAAGTGACGTCCACACTGTTAAAATGTTGTGCAACATGTCTAATGTTGTATAATGTCTCCCATTCCGATCGGGCAACTTTAAATCTGTGATTTTGGTCTCGCAACATGCCTCTGGACGGGGATTGGTCTATAGACATGTCTGCGTAGACAAACGGAGGCATGTCTCTTAAGACCAAAATCGCGCAACATATCTACTAGTGTGGACTAGGCACGTATTAAGAAAAAAAATATATATATATATATATATATATATATATATATATATATATATATATATATATATATAATCAAATTTTAGCTCATCATCTTCATTCACAAGTTTGAATTTCACAAAATACGAGGCTATCGATTTCTCATTAATAATTTATCTCCGATTTTGTTTTTGTTTTTTTTATACTAGTAATATTTATAATGATGTAGAGATAGTTGACCGTGATATAATATGAGAAAAAGTTGGTCGGGATGATGCGGTCAAATAAGTACTAAATTTTCAAAATAGTATTTTAATTGATTATTATTTTAATTGAAAATATAGTATTTATTTAGCCGCACCCACCAATCAACCAATTCCTTCTCATAATAATATTTATAGTTAAAAAGTTTGTTCATTTAAACGTACTAATTAATAATTAGGAAATTATTGAGTAAAATTTATATTAGAAGACGTAGTTGGAAATTTTAACATCGAAGGTTATACTAACAAACAATTTAAAAAAAAAATATTGAAAATAATAAATTGATGTAACATTTGTTCGGCATTGATTTACTGGAGTCATTATAGTCTCAGAAAATTGTCACTAGAAATTAATAATGCTTCAAGTTTCACACTCGGTAAGATATGAATTTTCTTTACCTGAAATGTTTATATTTTCAATGAATATGTGTTTACGGAATGTGAGCGTGTGATCATGATGCAGGAATGGAACTTGCAAAACCTTACCGATGTCTTAAGATTCTTCTAATCATGGAGATTTCCATAAAGACAAAGACTATAAAAAAGAGCTCGTATAGAAACGAATCACGTGCCACCTTATGCCGCTGCTAGTCCATCCGTGCTATTTGCATTTTAATTGCCTTTAATCAAAGGCCACCTCCGACTTGAATATGGCTATAAAATTTGTTATTCTCCCTTAGTCTGTTTCTTCTACCGTCCCTAATCTTAGATCCCCATTACTCCTAACAAATGTTGTCGACGCTTCATACCTTATTCAAGTTAAGTACATTCAGTAAGCTGTGTCAATAGCGAGGATGTTAATTATTCCGAATTTAAGATGTGACTCCTCTCTTCAATATAGTCTCTGGTAAGGCCTGATATTCGGTCGGATTCTGATCAGTCATGGAACTCATACTAGTGATTTTTGTTTGCACTGCCATTTGGTTGTTTAATAATACACACACACACACACACACACACACACACACACACACATATATATATATTCATCAAAACAATATATATATATATATATATTGTTTTGATGAATCTATTCAGTTTTGTGTCATTGAAATTCAAATTAAGATCTTTTACAGTGTTGAGATAAACAAAATGTAAAAAAGTCTCGGTTGAATGAGTTCATCCAAGATCTGTCCGATATGCGTCTTGCATTTTTGTCTGGTCGTTGTCCCTTGCCTCTGTCTGTCACTGATTGGTGAAGCTAATTCTTCTAAATAGCTCAATTATGAGTCTCCACTCAATTATTTCAACAATCACATGCTAATGATATTTGAATGCATGGGCAAGCTTCTAAACTCAGGCCTCAACAATAGCATCAGAAGTCCATCAAATCATTCCTAAACTCATTGATAGAAACCATGGAGGGTATATGGTGCGTTCTTTTATTAAACGATTAAATCATCAATGGCTCTATTTAGTTAGCAGTTCTATCTGTTTTGGGGATCGATGGTTCCACTTCATTATAATCTCAGTGTTGTTATTCCTCAATTTATTTTCTATCTGCATTGATTTCTGTTTTCAAAATTCAATCATTTTTTATTTTTACTAAGTTTAGTAAGCTTTTAGAGTTGTTAACCTTCCGCTCGTTCTGATCTCATCATAAATAGTTACGCATCGATGCTGGATTCAATATATTGATGGAATTCATCGATGAGTTTATTAACTTCTCCTATGTATAAGTCGAATGATAATTATTATATTTTAAACATTTTCTTTTAGTCAATGATGTCACCATTTTATTCGAATGATCCGTATTCACTCATTCACTGCTTTATCAAATATTTATCATGAGCCCTCGGTGACTCGGACGGATATTGTAGCCTCTTCCAAGCGAGGACGGAACAAATTTTATCACGGAAGCCCAAATGGTATGCTTGAGTCGACTCCAAAGACCGGTTTTCGGGTTCGGCTTTTAACGGACCTTCGCGGCCTGAATACCCGTTCCGAGGCGTCTTGGGCCTACACGCTTAATCCGGTATATTGCCAGTTATATATTTTTTAATAATTCAAAAATATGAAAATATTTTTAAGAAAGAAACCTTAGAAATAATATATATAATTTACTCAAAACCATAATTTTAGATTTAGTTTAGTCTTAGGTATGATAGCTAGATTAAATAGCATTATTAGTTTTTGCCTCCTCCTAATTAAGCTGGAAGGTTAAAATTTTCGGTGTATATGAAGTTGCTGTTAGAGAAGTGTCTTTGGGGATTCTCATCGGCAGCCTCCATTTTGTTATAAAATGGGAGTGGAAAACCCGTTATTCTGTAGGCTGTAGCATTAAAACGGCTGTAAAAATTTTAATTTAAAAAAAAAAACCCAAAGTATTCCCCAATGGAAACCTATAAATTTATGTATATAACATACTTCCACTAAATAAGACTGGAAAAAAGATACTATTGAATACAAGATTTTATTTGCGATTAGCTTCAAAAAGAACACATTATTTTTTAAAGATGGGAGTTCTTCTTAGAAAACAAAAAAAAAAATTAATCGGACCATTTGTTGGATAGATACGGCGTTTTTAATTTTGCGATTCCAAATTACCTTGGAAATTTGATCTCCATTATTTGCTTTTATTATATCCTAATACTATAAATCCAACGATATATATATATATATATATATATACATATATATATAAATATCTTTAAAATGACCTAATCTTATCGAACAAATATTTTCCTACGTAATAGCGAATGTTGTGTGGGTATACATATTGAATTTACAAATTTTTGAAAATTAAAAATTAGATGAAAATAGAACCTCAGTAACGGAGCTCTGCTATTAATTATCTACTAAATTGACTCTTGTGTAGCATTATCTAACCAAACATAATAAGACACGGGTAAGATTGTAAGGACCCCCAGGAAGCATTTTTTTCTGATAGTTGGGTTCTGAGAGGGCCTTAGAAATCTTTGCTCCTCCTAAGGACAACTAAATAAAGAATCAGAATCCCTGAAATCCGATACAATTATGAAGTATTTTGGCTATGTTTACCTGATAATGTCAACTAACACTACTCAAATATTGAGATAACAGATCTATATTTACTTTATTTTATTTTTTTATTATTATTATTTTTTTTTTTTTTGAGGAAAAGCTATATAGCAGCACAATTTTAATAAGTATGTAAAACAAGTGGGTTTATTACTTTGTATTGATAAATAAAAAATCGAGAATACATTTACAAATAATTCATGTTTACATTTAATTCTATATCTATCATAACAATTTCTTTTCCTTATAATAAATACTTTAGATTAATTGATCCTATAATTTTTTTCAATTGAGAATCCAAACAATTTAGAAACCATTACCTACACCAACTTCAGTAAATGAGAACACAGCAATATAACAAGTTAAAAAGTAAACCCACAATAATAATTTAATATAAAAAAAAAATGTACTGGACTATTATTAAAACAATATGGAACAAACCACTTATTATAGTACCAATAACAATACCATTTATATAACTTATTATATAAGAAGGTTTGAGTGAATTTCGAGAAAAATATTGAACTTATGAATTGTGTTCTTGATAATGGTGTTAAAAAAATCGCAATATAGTAATATGGTAGCAATATGGCATGGTATTGGAAACAAACTCTCCAGGTTTAAAAACAAAACTGGAAAGGGGTTGTAGAATTCCTTTTTTCAGACTTGAAGACATACAAAAAATTCTCATTCCATGGCACTAAAAAGTACCAAAACTCTGTTAAATACTAAAAGAAAGAGAAATAAAACGACAGGTCTGGAATAAAATAATGAATTAAAGTAAAATGTCCTATCATTTTCGCTCTAGTGAATAGTATAATTTTATTATTTGAAAGTGTCTTATTGATCTATGAATCCACTTCATAAATACACATAATTTTTTCTGATATGTTTTATAAATGTAAATATTAATTTTACTGATAAATATAAATTAATTATTATTGATGGAAGTTTTTCGACTGTTCTACATATGAGCCTTTCAGTTAACAGAATTACTGCCTCCAATTTCAACATTTTTATTATTAATTTTAGTGATATTTCTGGAGCGAAAATGTGTACCTTTATTCATGGTTCTACATTGCAATCACTTACTCTAGAATCAACTTACTCACTGTATGAACAGATATAAATTTTTCAACTAGAAATATTATTAAAATGACTTTATTCCAAAATGTTGAAATTGGAGTTAATCATTCTATCAACTGAAAGCCTCATATCAAGGGTTATAGACAGTCAGGACGCAGAAAAATTTTAAATCCAACGTTTAAACATAAGGTTGTGGATCATCAGGGTACTCAGCTTCCATAGTTCTTGAACAGCTTTGGTGCTGTTAATCTGTCTTGACGAAGATCCACAAGCTTCAAAAGATCCACGAGCTGGCTAACGCGTGTTGTGATACGCGTTGCCTGGCAGCCTGATGATAAACCCAAGATTACGAGTTCAAATCTCGGTGCGGATGGGACTTTTAACTGGGCATAATTCCCACGCCTTCTTCGGCCCGGGTATAACTCCGTTTGGCCTTAAAGACGAGGAAGGGACAAAAGAAAAAAAATACTGAAGAAATTTACTGCGTACTGAATATTTATCATCCATAAATTTATCATTTTTCTCTTATCACCATCTAGCAATTAGTAAGTATGTAAACTAACTTCATTATTCGTGGTTTTTGATTATCCATTCACCTTCCTTCCCGCTATGCCCCGGATTATCCATATTCCACTGTTGCTACTATTCAGCGAAATGTTGCCCCACCCTCTGTCGGGAAGTTAAGGCGGAATTGGAATGAAGGTTTAGCGGTTGGAAGCGGATCGGTCCCCGACAGCGGAGGCTCCGGAAGTCATTACGCCCTAATCAACCACCATTTTCTGTCTTTTTGACAGCTCACTCTCCGGCTTAGTTAACGGCACCAAAACGCTACGTGATGTCAACTCACGCTCCTGCCCTACCGTTAGCTGAATTATGGAGTTGTAATATATTTCCATCTTCTTTCTTCTTTTTAATTTAATCCTAACATAAGAAATAAAACAGAAAGTGAAAAATGAGAAGAATCTCATTCACGAATTAAAGCGATTATATTAGGTAGTGTTTGTAAAATTGTAGAACAAAAAAGATTTTAGTGGCGTTAAAATAATTTATATATTGCGAAGAACAAATAAATTTATTTTTCATATATTGAAACGAAAAAAAAAAGTATCAAATCTAGGAAAGGACTTTAAAAAGAATTATTTTAAGATATTATAAAAAGAAATTCTTGATGAGTCCGGCTTGAGAAGTTAAATCAATTTATTTCAAATACGAATTGAAAAAATAAATAAATGATATGATTATTACTGTTGTTTGGAATCATTAATGATTTTAGGACTGCATTTGCTATTCAAGAGATGAATAAAACTTTAATATAGCAAAACCTTTGTTTTCTATTATGGGTGAGTTCTTATAGATGCTTAAAGGTTTGTCTGGTTTAAAGTAAAAGTATTTAGGATTGATTCTTATAAAATAAATTATTCATTATATGTTTCTTTTTTTTAAATTAATGAATATTTACAAGTTCAGTTGAGTATTTTGTTGTTATGAACAATTTTTTCGTATATTATAAATTTTATAACTGTCAATTGTGTAATGTTGAAAAAAAATCTATATACAGTAAGACATGTTGCTCCTTTTAAGGACATATTAGATGATGAATCTTTATCTATAATAAAAAAGTTGTTATTGTCTTGACTCATTTTGTGTTAATACCAATCGACAATATTCATTTTTTTTTTTTCTCATATGTTAGAATACAACATGAAATACAATTTCTCTATCGATTTCCTAATGGATCATGAATGCCGAATAACATCTCCACCCACAGGAGGATCTAGGGGGGGAGGGAGGAGGAGGAGGGCTTTCGGACTGAAGTCCCCCCCTTTCCCAAATGGTAAAATATAACCATGTTTTACAGAAAAAAAATATTAAAAACTATCTCTCAAACTATTATTGTTCGTGTAAATACATTTACACTTTACATTTAAATACATTATATATGTATATATATATATATATATATATATATATATATATATATATATATATATATATATATATATATATATATGTATGAAAATAAATCCTTCGGACTGAAGCCCTCCTCCCCAAAATTAAATCCTGGATCCGCTAATGTCTCCACCCGTATCCCAGAAAAACCCTACAATTCCGGCAGATGTCTTGCCTTTTACCCGGTGAAGTCGGAACGATCAGAACCCGGAGATAGGCAATATACCAGTTCTAGGTCTACTTTCACACTTTTACTCCAGGCTTGCCTTACAAGGACTTAGCCATTTGTTACTGGCTCGATAATTAGAACATATGTCAAAAGAAATAGCCGTTGGGCTAATATTTTCATGCAGGAATTCAATTATGAAGTATTATTATTTTTCAACGAGTATTAAATAATTGAATACTTTTTAAACATAACATTATGTAACTTTTTTATTTTTATTTTATTTTTTCTATCCACACCTGTCGCTGACGAAAGTGACAACAAGCAAATGTGCTGACTAGCAAATGACATTTCAGACACAGGGAAGGATGTTATTTAAATTATGTTCATTAATAAAACCAAGTAAAACGATCAGTTTTATGTGTAGGACCTAGTAATATATTTTCCCATCTAATAAAGAAATTTTGTTTAATTTTTTTTTTTTTTATGCTGGTATCTGAAACTTTAATTCCACTTACAATTAGTAACACTTATCGATATATGTATATAATTATTTTTTCGACTTTTTAAATATCCAATGCATTACATTACAAAAAAATAATTGTTATTTTCAGTTTTTATACTCTCAATAAAAATTATTATAATTTTATACTTTTTTCCTTTCTTCAATAATTATTTTTTCTCATCTAGTTCACAAATATAAATACTCTTCAGCATATAATTTACAGGGTATTGGATTAATTCTATAACAAGTATAGTAAATGTTCAAGTCAGGCCTACGAGTAAGAAGTGAAAAAAAAAATATAATAACAATTAATTATTCAGGTAAAATATATATAAATATATCAACAAAAAAATCAAGAGCTTATCAACTGAAAAAAATAAAACATTTTAAAGGAGTAACGTAATATGTTATTTAAATCTCAATTTGTATGATTTTTTATTTTGTTTTAAATAAATGAAAGAACACTTTCTCTAAAATTAAAAATCAATTTTATTCATTCTAAGCTTGTATATTAAAACAAGTAAATATTTATAATAAGAAGAAAATTATTCTCTAATTAATGACAAAGGTTATTTAAACAATTAAAAAGGATCCCATCTCAAATGAAAAGTTGTATTGAATACGTTTTTATATTTTATGTTTCATCTGTTTTGCCTGTATGAAGGCTATAAGTTTTCTTGGTTTAATTGCCTGCATATATTTTTCATTTTTACCATGGATTGTTTTTCTTTTTTTTTTTTTACTTTTATTTTTAATGTAAATATCTGATGCATGCTGCTTGATGTTATGAAAGCCATCCATACACGTGCTGGTGACTCATAGGTGATGGTAGATGGTGCCACTCACCAGTCTCATTGATTAACAGCAATTAATGCTTTCTAACCTCCAGATAAATTATTGTTATTTTTACATTAATTAAATACATTTTACTATTCTGTTTCATATCATCAAATGCTGAAAAATTAGGAATGGTCTAGGGCATATATTATATTTTAAAATTTATATTTCAGAATATTTTTTTTAATACTTGTTTCAATCTTCATCGTTTCTGAGAAGTGTTATTACAATAAAATATTCCTCTTGATTTTACTCCTATAATCCTAAAACATTTATAAAATCCCTAAAAAATAAAACTAAATTAATTATACTTATTTTAATTGCAAATTTCACAAAATTTATTACCTAAAGAAAGGGTAGTAAATTAATAAGCATTTTTGTTGTGAGACAATAACAACATTTCTTTGAAGAAAAACCTTAAAAAGATTATTGTACATTCAAATTTTATTGACAAAATGTGCTGGGAATATGTAGTTATGCTTAAGGTATTGTGATGTAAATTTTATTGACTTTAAAGATAATTCAACTTTAGCAATTTAAAATTAATTACATTTAATTTAATCATTATTATTTTGATGTTTATTTATTGTACATAGTGTGAATAGGCTATTCATCTGTTAATATTACTATCGCCCTTAGATTTAACAGATTGTAATATTTCTCAAATAAATTAATAAACCAATTTTTTTTTATTTAACGCCTCTGCCATTGGCTATTATTTCATACGGCTCCTGGCAGCCTAATACATTTCCGCCATAACGGATTTCTCCAATTTGTTGATTCCATTTCTTGTATTTGTGCCCATCCCATCAGAAAGGTTACTGCGGATATCTGATGGATAAATTAATAAAATGACGAGGTACATATTTAGTTATTATTAAAAAAATAATTTAAATAAGAATTGTGTAAATTATATTAAAATGTTTCATGAATTTTAGTAAAGAATGTTCTGGAGATGGGAATTTCAGCCCGAAACGTCATCGAGTAATTATAAAAAATAAAAATATGTGATGAAAAAAGTGATGCTAATTGAAATGCCAATTATTATTCCTTTGAGGGAAATATGATTTATCCTTAAAATAATTTTTTTTTTACATTCTTTTTAATCCTTAAAATAGGATTTTTTCGTTAAAGTTTCCTGAGATAATTTACTTTGTGAATTTCCTCCTGTGAAAGTTTTTATTTTATGAGTAAAAGCTATAAAGGATTTCCTCTAACTCATTTGCCTTCGATAAAAATGTTGCCATCTTTCTCTAGTCGTATTTCAGAAGTAATTTATTACCATTATAAGATTCGGAACGTCTCTATAAAATTGTAATTACTATTAAGTAAATATTCGAGATCCTAGATTAGTAAAATTTCAAATTTTACTATTTTATTCAATAGCTATTCACAAGTTTCAACAAAATGTGAGACGGTTAAAATTTTATGTTTTGAAATATTTTAAGTGTCTGCCCTTCAATACTAATGTTTGAATGGGAATTTATGTTTAAGATATTCCATCTGATAAACCAGCTTGTCAGTGAAATTGAAAAAAAAAAAAAAAAAAAAACACTATTCAAACCAATTTAAATCTATACCTAATAATATACTCAATATTAATATTTAATTATTAATTTGACTGGCTAAATAAAACTATAGGAATAATATTTGTTATACAGTGCTTATTATACGACCATAATTAGAAAAATATGATAGTCAAAGTGTAACGTAAATAGTAAAAGTATTGAATTGAAAAAATCTGCTTATCACTAATAAAGTTTGCAGATCTGTCCAACGGTTGTTATGCGGGAAAGACGTTTCTTTAATCCCGTTATGGTACATCTGTAATCTTTATTACTTGAACTCTTTGCGTATTAGCGAATCAGCAAAATCCACTTATCCTAAACCATTGATTGAATCTGGACTCTAAAGGATATAATATTAGGTTCTTTCTTAATCTTAAATCTTTTAATCCATTTGTTGAACTGGATCTTTTTCATGAAAAAAAAAATATATATAAACACGACGCTTATTTTTTTTTCATTATTATTGTGATCATGTTTTCAGTATTATTTAAAGTATATAATCAGAAATAATTAAAGAATATCATCTCCTATTTATATATATTTTTCAATAATTTTCTACTTCTTCACCATATAATCAATTATATCATAAAATTATCATAAACTTGTTCTTAAATGTACTCGACATGTTTTCTTTAATGCCACAAGTAATTATTTAATAATATATAATATAAGCGGTTCAACATTTTAATTTTTTTGCTATTATTGTTTGTGGAAAATTTGTATTTTATACTGAATAATTTTTAAGCTGCATTATTAATATAAAAC